GGCGGGGCCATGGTGATCTCAGGGGTGATCTTGGGGCTGCGATCATCTGGGCGGGGGGTGATCTCAGTACTGTGACGATCTCAGGGGTGATCTGGGGACATGGTGATCTCGGGGGTGATCTTGGGGCTGCGATGATCTGGGGGGGTGATCTTAGTACTGTGACGATCTCAGGGGTGATCTGGGGACATGGTGATCTCGGGGGTGATCTCAGGGCTGCGGTGATTTCAGGGGTGATCTCAGGGGTGATCTGGGGACATGGTGATCTCGGGGGTGATCTCAGGGCTGCGGTGATTTCAGGGGTGATCTCGAGGCTGTGACGATCTCAGGGGTGATCTGGAGACATGGTGATCTCAGGGCTGCAATGATCTCGGGGGGTGATCTTGGACCTACTTATCACAGCTACAGTGATCCGATAGCTGTGGTGATTTCAGGGGTGATCTCAGGGCTGCGGTGATCTCGGGGGGTGATCTGGGGGCTGCGATGATCTCAGGGGTGATCTTGGGCCTACAATGATCTGAGACCTGCGGTGATCTCGGGGATGATCTTGGGGCTGCTGTGATCTCGGGGCTGATCTCAGGGGTGATCTGGAGACATGATAATCTCAGGGGTGATCTTGGGGCTATGGTGATCTGAGAGCTGTGGTGATCTCAGGGGTGATCTCAGGGCCACAGTGATCTCAGGGGTGATCTTGGGGCTGTGATGATCTTGGGTGATCTCAGGCCTACAATGATCCAAGAGCTGTAGTGATTTCAGGGCTGCGATGATCTTGATGATCTCAGGAGTGATCTCAGGACTGTAATGATCTCAGGGCTATGATGATCTGAGAGCTGTGGTGATCTCGGGGGTGATCCTGGGCCTACAATGATCTGAGAGCTGTAGTGATCTCGGGGGTAATCTGAGGGCTGCAGTGATCTCGGAGCTAAAAATCAGCACAACTGCTGCAAATGGGGGATTTCAGCGGTGGTCTTGCTTGGGTGTAACGCTGGCTCTGCGTGCAGCACTGCCAAGGGGGGAGAGGGGATGAAGATCATGTAGCCTTCAACTCCCACCTGCCCTACAAGAAGGGAGCAGCTTCTTTCCTGGGCCCATTGAAATGGGATGGAAATCCCCTGCAGGACCGCTGGGAGTTGCAAGGCTCATCCCTGCAGCAGATTTTTATAGGATGCCTGCTGGTAATTTTCAGCTGTGTGTTTTCAAGGTGAGGCCAGGTGGGAGGCACCGGTCGGTGAGTGCAGAGCGCTGGGGGGATGGCATTCATGACGTTGAGATCTCACACACTGTTCTCAGGAAACAGCAGCTGCAGTGGAGGGAAAATAGGCTCTTTTGTGGTTTGGATTCCAGCCTAGCCTTGTAACTATATCAGAGGATTATTTGGTTCCCAAGTTTGAATGGACTCAAATTAAAAATTCTGGGCATGCTGGTGGGCAAAACAGTAGCATAAAAAAGCTCTTCTTATGGAAACCCTTCAGAGCAGATTGCTTGTTCGGCTGAGGAAAGGGTACATTAACTGCAAAGTCTCCTGGAGTTTTGAATGCAGAAGGCCCCAAGGCTCAGGAAACTTTATCATCCCCAAGCCTGAAGCTGCGATCAGAGCAAAACAGCTTGTCTGCAGTAGGACTTATGATGGGGTGGTTAAAAGGCTTGTTTTATAAAGTAGGGAAGATGGGGAAAGACGAGCAGAGCATGGTGACTTTGGTGACCCTTGCCACCAAATTGCAATGTTGGTACTGCAGAGGCCTAGTAGAGCTGCTATGGGGAGAGGAGAAAGCAAGAAGTCTCTCCCTTGTAGAGGGGACAGTTAGAAATGGCTGGGGAAGAGTTCCTGAGTCCCCTCCAAAGAGCACTTTGTAGCCACAAGCTTCCCCCAGTCCGTGGGGCAGTGCAAAATGGGGGGATGGCCCTCCTGGTTGTGTTGCCAGAGCCCTCTCAGGTGCTCAGCATGAGAGGATGCAGCATTACATCCATCCCTTGCTCTTGCAGAGGTCCTGCGCCCTGCCTGGAGTCCTTCAACTTTCTATTCCTGTGGCAGTCTCCATAGGGACAGTGTTGGAGGTGGGGAGATATAGGAACTTATCTTGAATCAACAAGTGTAAATTGTTGGCTGAGGCTGTTCACAGATAACCCCGCTCGATTCCTAGCTGAATCAAAGAGTGCTTGCGTAAGCGGCCTGGATTTTGCTTGTCACCACCAGGCAGGAGAGGTTTTTGAGGGCTTCCTAAGTTTAACTGTTGTGCTTCTGCATGGGGAGCTGCCTTGGACTGTCTTTAGGGAACAGAACGAACATCCCCGGGTCTCGGAGAGTCTTTGCCCTGTTGCACTTTCCAAGAACTGCTGAGATCAGAGACTGTGCTCTTGGTTTCAGGCCGCCTGGCTCAGTTTCTGACACTGGAGACTGTTTTGGCACTAGGATGCCTTGCTAAGGGAATGTGTGCAGTCTAAGGGAGAGCAGCTTAAGTTAACAGCCTGCTCTGCCGCTGTACTAGTTTCCTTTGCTCCAGGCCTCTGATGGGGGTTGGTGAATGTAGGAAGTGCTGCAACAGGTCAGACTATCCATCCTGTCTTTCAGGCCGGTATCAGATGTGTCAAAGGAAAGAGGTGCGAGGGAGAGAACTCTTTGCCTTCCATAGCAAAGATGATGGGAGCATTTCTTTGCCTATTCTTTGCATTTCTTTTCATATTCTTTGTTCCCCTTTCCCTGGTCTTCCCTGCCGAAACAATATTTCAGATGAAAAGATGCATGTGTTTGTAGCCAGAAGTCCTACAGACCTGACTGTCTTAATATTTTCAGTGTGGTCTCAGCGACTAATTACTACTTTGCACATCTAGTTCCTTCTGTCCTTGGCTCCTACAGTGCTTCCCAAGGATGCACTAGTAACTCCTTGAGAAGTAGTCCTATGATCATTTCCACCTTAAAAGAGAGAGCTTAAATGATCTGTCCAAGGGTAACAAGCCTATTTGTGGGGCTGAGCAGTGCCAGTAATGGAGCCCAGGTATTCAGGTGGACATGAGACCATCATTCCTCTTCAGTACACTTCACCTGTCTGTATATCTTCAAACCACCATTCAGCTATTTACCATTTAATCCTCAAACAACCCCTGCGGGGGTTGGTATAGCATTCTCCCTATTTTATTAGTAGAAAAACAGACCAGCTGAGAGAGACACAACAAACTGGTTCCAGAGTCAGGATTAGATCTGGAGTCACTGGTACCCAGTCCCATGTTGGGTGTCCTAGGCAAGTTACTTCCAACCCTTTGTCATTCAGAATTACGGAGAAAATCAGCCCGTGACATAAATTCCTGCCATCTCCCTGACCATTCACTTTTTATGGGGTGATCCTTGCTTGAGACTGTTCCTTTTTATTGATTTTTCTGCTGCCAAAATGTTTGACTCCAAGAGCTATTTACCTTCAGATTCTGTTCCACTCCCTGTCATTTCAGCCTTTGAATCCTATAATAATACCATTATAAAAGGAGCCGTTCTTTTCTGAGAATCATTACCTCTCCTTAGCAGTCAATCTCCATGTGTAATTGGACAGTAAGTTTGCATCACATTTGCGATCTGATTTGATGTACGGATATGAACATCTGGACTCAAGGCATTCATATATTGCTTTGTGTAGATTGACCAGAAGGCCATTAAATTGCAGAGAGAAAAGTTTGAGTTCTGCTGAAAAAAACAATTAAAACCCTTTATTTACTTGTAGATAAGCTGTGTACAACAGTTAAAAAAAGAAAGAAAGGGGCAAAATCAGACTTCACTGAAACCCGCTTGCACAGGGATGTGCCTGGATCCAAGGGCTTCTGTTTCTCCCATCTTTTTGCAAGAAGGAGGTGGGGTTGGGGTGGTAAATGGGAGAAAGAATGAATATAGTGCAACAGGCAGCTGTTACCTCCCAGCGGCTCCTCTCTTCACTAGTTCAGTCCTCGTGCTGCGAGGGAGGATTCATTCTTTGGAAGGATCCTAGATAAGCGACTTGGGTATAAATCCATTCTGAGTGGGCAGATCGGGGACACTTTCCCTTGTGCATCTGGAACTTGCGGGGGGAGATCTGTGTATATGCATAATCCTTTGTGATCGTTTTTAGAGAGGCTGAGAACCAGCAGAAAGAGCTGCTACAAATTGGCCACATCTTGCTGGCCCTCAGCATCGTAGGATATGGAAACAGGGGCAACACTGCACTTTTCTTGAGGGAATTCCTATGTTATAAGTGCATGAAAAATAAATGGGGCCTTTGTTTAGTGGCTACATTTCACTCCTAGCTGGGAACTGAGTGGGGAAGTGAGGCCCAAACACCTGCAGTGGTCGGGGGACTGTTCGGTAT